GATTTGTTGGAAATTCAAAACTACGCAAAATTCAAAAAAAGTTGGATTTTCTAGCTTATCTGGCATCCGAGATATGGCCATCAGAAGAGACGCAGACAACGAGAGTGTCTGCCGCCCTCCTCTTTCCCCACACTCTCTCGCGCTCTAAATTACAATAGCTCATATCTCAGCTCACAGGGCGTCTAGAAACCTGATTTTTTCACCAGTTTTTCGGAAATTTTCTCTATTTTTCAATTTCTCAAAAAATTTTCAAATTTCAGCTGCGACGGATCAACGTCAACAATTTACATGAATGGATTCATTTGTGGTTTCCCTCCGAATTATGAGATTTAGGATATAGATATGTTTTTGAAGTTTAGACTAGACACTCTGTTTTTTTTAATGTTTCATATTTGTTTCCGAATGAATTTTATAACAGAATTTTTTTTCGGGTTTCCATGGGAATTCTGAATTTCCTTGTCTATTATTTTTCGATTTCCCGAATGTTTCTTGGGTTCAAGATTTAAAAAAATCATGAAAATCCTCTCTTTATTTTTTCTAATTTTCCAGGTTTCGTATACTACGGTAAGTTTTATTTTTCCAGATTTCCAAATGTCCAGATGTCCAAAAATTTGGAAATTTTCTTTTTTGGCGCTATAACTTGGCTCAAAATGGTCCGAATTTTTTGAAATTGCATTTTAAGAATTCTGAGATTTTGGAAATCATTTGAGACATATTCAAAAACCTGAAAAATTGAAACTTGTGGACATCCGGACACTTGGAAATCTGGAAAACCTAAAAATCAACTTATTGACCCATAACTTGGCTTAAAATGATCCGAATTTTCTCAAATTTGAATTTTTCTGGAATTTTAGAATCCCGCCAAAATGAATCTAATTTATGGAACGCCTTCTGAATACAAGACGTCATCGAAATTTGAATTTTCCTGGGATTACTGTATCTCGTATTGCTATCAGATGTCGACATGTCTAGCTGCATATTATCAAGGCGACTTTCCGGAGATTTGTGAAATTTTTGAAATTGGAAATCTGGCGAAAATTCGAAAATTGAATGCGTACTCTGGAAAAATTATGGCGGTAAAGGTGAAATTTTGAATTTTGAAAATCCAAAATAAATATTTTTGAACGTTTCCAGACAACCTCTCCATCTGAATGCTCCGCAAGCTCTAATGACAGTTTGATGGCTGGTACAGTATCCACAGCATCCACGTGGCAAAACTACAGTATCCAAGTTTCCCAAGATTTTTGGACAATAGATTCGAGTCCATTTTTTGAATGTCCGGAGAATTTTAGATTATGGAATAGAGCCAAAGGATATTGGTGTATGAGGGTAGGTTCTGTAGGGGTACTGTAGGAAGCCTACAGGAACCCTACAGTATGCTAGGATTAATGTAGCTTACTGTAGGTCCACTTTAAAATCGGAATCAGTCAAATGGACAGTGCTACATATTGCAAAGAAAGTTATGGGGGCATGTTGAGTGGATTCGATTCGTATGCGGAGAAACTATGGGTTGTTGGTGAGTACTGTAGGTTACTGTAGTTTCCGGATTATTGTAGTTTTTCCAGGAATCACAAAGTCGTTGGTCAATCCGAGCTTTCAATTCGATGGATATTGGATAAATGGGATTCGGAAGGATTCTTGTAGATACCGTAACCAAACCGGACCGGATTGTGATGGAATAGCAGTAAAATTTTCGAATTTGGCTCATTTTTAACTTCAAAATGAGCCCAAACACGACCCATCTAGCTATATTTTGGTTTTTCGAAGGTCCATGCGCCTTTAAAGTCGAAAACTCAAAGTTGACCAAAATAGGTCGTGATTGGGCTCATTTTGAAGCTCTAAACGCAGGAAACTTGCTTAAATTGGTCAAATTTCGTAAACTTTCAGGCGTTTAATATTACGGACCCTTTAATGTACAATACCACTTCATACGTTTGGGGCAGCGATTATCAGCCGGATGGATATGAAAATGGTATTTGGATCCACGACTGTTTGGTTTTTAGAGTGCAACCACAAAGTGGAGCAGGAGTCGATGACCTACCGTAAGCATACAGTAATCCTGAAATTCAGAAATCCTGAAATTCAGAAATCCTGAAATTCAGAAATTCAGAAATTCAGAAATTCAGAAATTCAGAAATTCAGAAATTCAGAAATTCAGAAAATTCCTTGAGAAATTCAGAAAATTCCTTGAGAAATTCAGAAAATTCCTTGAAACGTTGGACTTTCAGGATTTTCAGATTTCCGAGTGTCCGGATGTCCACAAGTTCAGATTTTCAGATTTTTTTTCTTGACTCAAAATGCATCAAATTTTTTCAAATTAGAATTTTTCGAAACTTCAGAATCCCGCCAAAATGAATTTAGTTCATGTAACGCCTTCTGAACTCTCCATAATTTGAATATTCCTGGTATTACTGTAAATTCAGAAATTCTGAAATTCTGAAATTCTGAAATTCTGAAATTCTGAAATTCTGAAATTCTGAAATTCTGAAATTCTGAAATTCTGAAATTCTGAAATTCCTAAATTCTGAAAATCTGAAACTCTGAAATTCTGAAATTCTGAAATTCTGAAATTCTGAAAATCTGAAACTCTGAAACTCTGAAATTCTGAAACTCTGAAATTCTGAAATTCTGAAATTCTGAAATTCTGAAATTCTGAAATTCTGAAACTCTGAAATTCTGAAATTCTAAAATTCTGAAATTCTGAAATTCTGAAATTCAAAAATTCTGAAATTCTGAAATTCTGAAATTCAGAAATTCAGAAATTCAAAAATTCTGAACTTCTGAAATTCTGAAATTCTGAAATTCTGAAAATCTGAAAATTCCTTGAGAAATTCAGAAAATTCCTTGAAACGTTGGACTTTCAGGATTTTCAGATTTCCGAGTGTCCGGATGTCCACAAGTTCAGATTTTCAGATTTTTTTTCTTGACTCAAAAGTGCATCAAATTTTTTCAAATTAGAATTTTTCGAAACTTCAGAATCCCGCCAAAATGAATTTAGTTCATGTAACGCCTTCTGAACTCTCCATAATTTGAATATTCCTGGTATTACTGTAAATTCAGAAATTCAGAAATTCTGAAATTCTGAAATTCTGAAATTCTGAAATTCTGAAATTCCTAAATTCTGAAAATCTGAAACTCTGAAATTCTGAAATTCTGAAATTCTGAAATTCAAAAATTCTGAAATTCTGAAATTCTGAAATTCAGAAATTCAGAAATTCAGAAATTCAAAAATTCTGAACTTCTGAAATTCTGAAATTCTGAAATTCTGAAAATCTGAAACTCTGAAACTCTGAAATTCTGAAATTCTGAAATTCTGAAATTCTGAAATTCTGAAATTCCTAAATTCTGAAAATCTGAAACTCTGAAATTCTGAAATTCTGAAATTCTGAAATTCAGAAATTCAAAAATTCTGAAATTCTGAAATTCTGAAATTCTAAAATTCTTAAAATTCCTAGAATGCAGGATTTTAGAGGTTTAAACATCTAAAAATCTCGAAAATTCAAAAAAATTGAAAATTTACAAAGATCCAAAAATAGCCCTGAAATCTTGAGAACGGTGAGCGTGTGGCCTAAAAATTCTACAGTAATCTGCAGTATTTTTTTTCAGATGCACATGGACTGGAAACGCCAAAAAAGTGTTCTTGAATGGATTTATTTGCGGTGTCCAACCAGAGGAAATTTAAATTTTCAATTTTTTAAAATTAATTTTTAAAGAGTATAAAATTTTGAGGTTTATAAAAATATTAAAATGTCTAAAAATTACAGAAAAAATATAAAAAATATTTTTAAAAACTTCTAAACAGGACGAAAAACTAGAAATTTCAAAAAATTAGGGACATCCGGTCATCCGGACCCACAGAAAAAATTACATGGACTCTTCACTAAAATCCGGGTCCTCATCTGAAAGATTTTCTGAAGAGTTCTCTGGAATTACAGAATTTTTCCAAGCGAAAAACTTGAAAGATTGACGTGTCAAAATGTAGGACGCCGAGTAGTCTTCGGTCTTCAAATCCATTGCGTTTTTCAGAGAATACGTGGTTTTGTCGACTCTGGAAAATTTTTTAGAGTTTAAAAATGAAATTTTTGGATTTGGGAGGTTTTGAGCTTCAAAATGAGTATAATCAAGGGGTAGTTTGGAGTTTTGCAATTTCTGGCCTAATACCGGTTTTGGCCATAACTCGGCCAAATTTGGGTAAAATTCATTTTTGCCAATAGTTTTGAATTTGCCTGGTTTTGAGCTTAAAAATGAGTATAAACCAGGATAGGTTTAACATTTTTTTATGTTTGCCTTGAAATTGTCCTCAACTTGCCTATAGGCCATAATTCGGTCAGTTTCCGTCCAATTTTAATTTTGCAAACAATTTTGAATTAGGCAAGTTAAGACCTTCAAAATGAGTATAAACAAGACTAGGTCTAAAAATTTTTATTTTTGTCTTGAAATTGGCCTAAAATTGGTTTAGGCTATAATTCGGCCATATTTAGGCCAAATTCATTTTTGCCAATAATTTTGAATTTGGCAAGTCGAGAGCTTTAAAATGAGTATAAACAAGGATATGTTCGAAATTTTAAGATTTTCGGCCTAAAATTGTCCTCAACTTGCCTATAGGGCATGATTCGGTCAGTTTCCGTCCAATTTTAATTTTGCAAACAATTTTGAATCAGGCAAGTTAAGAGCTTCAAAATGAGTATAAACAAGCTTAGGTTTAAAATTTGGAAATTTTCGGCCTAAAACTGGTACAGGCCATAACTCGCCCAATATTGGGCCGATTCAAATTTTTCAAAGTTTTGAATTTGCCGAGTTGAGTGCTTTGAAATAAGTATAAACAAGGGGTACTTTGGTAAATGTTGATTTTTGGCCTAAATCTGGCTTGACTAATTTCAGGCCAATTTGAATTTTCAAACTTACCTGTAGAGCATTTTTTCAATTGCATGTTCTCTGCGTCTCTTCTTTCCACCCAATGCCTGCTTCAACTCTCGAAAATCATGGGATTTCATTGATTTTTTGAATCCCAACCGCAAAAATTTTAATTTAGGCTTTCCGCCAGTTTTCACGAGTGAACAACGTCCAAAATGTCCAAATAGTCACCGTCGAAGTTTCGGATTTTCAAAATTTCATAGTCTAAGCGAACCAATTTGTAGACCGGCAGGCCTGACCCATTGGCAATTGACACGTGGCGAATTAAGTGATTCTGGAAGCAAAAATTTTGGTACTGTAGGTGTACTACAGTAATCTCAGCATGTTAGGATTACTGTAGCTTCCTGAAGGTCCAATTTAAAACTGGAATTAATCAAATGGAAAAGGCTAAAGATTGTCAAGAAAATTATGGAGGAATTTTGAGAGGATTCTAGGAGAAATTATGGGTTGTTGGTGAGTACTGTAGGTTACTGTAGTTTTTGGATTACCGTACATTACTGTAGCGGTACTGTACTATCACAAGGTTTTAAAAAAATTTTTAAAAATTTTCTAGAAATCACAAAATCCTTAGTCAACCTGAAATTCAAGTTTGATGGATATTGGTTGAATAGGATTTGGAAGGATTCTTGTAGATACCGTAACCCGGCTAGGACAGATTGTGAAGGATTAAAAATAAGATTTTCGAATTTCGCGCATTTTTAGCTTTACAATGAGCCCAAACAGGACTAATTTCGTAAAATATTGATTTTTCGACGGTCCATGCGCCTTTAAAGTCGAAAATTCAAAGTTGTCCAAAATAGGTCGTGTTTGGGCTCATTTTGAAGCTCTAAGCGCAAGAATTTGAATTCTTATTTATTTTCCTTAACTCTNTCTGTCCTAGCCGGGTTACGGTATCCTCAAGACTCGGGGTTCCTCTTGAGTCGACCTGCTGGCGTGCACGCGCGGCTCTGGCCGCCGAAATTCAAAGTTGACCGAAATTGGTCATGTTTGGGCTCATTTTGAAACTCTAAACATTGATTTCTCAAATCTTACATTTTCGAAATTCCCAAAATTCGCATATTTGCCCATGGTGACTTTTTGAACCGCCACCAAATTTCCCATCACCGCTGACCACGCCCCAATGCTCATTGTCTTCAGAATTGACACTTCCCGGGCCAGTTGAAATTCCAGGCGGGACCCCAAAAATTCCAGAATCTCCTGAAACTTGTTTTCGCTGAAACCCAGGAAAACGCGAGTCAAAAATTCGGGGAAAAGCTGGAAAATCTGGTCCAGGAGGGTGATGACACCGAAGTTTAGGTCGTCCACGTAGAGTTTGTACTTGTCAATGTCGTAGTCGTCGCTGAAAAATTTTAGAAAATTCTCAAAATTTTGAATTTGGGAGATTGAGAGCTTTAAAACGAGTATAAACAAGGCATGGTTTTGATATTTTGAATTTTTGTCCCAAAATTGGTTTGGGCCATAACTAGGC